GTTTAGGGTTTAGGGATGAGGGTTTGTAACCGCAAAGACCTGCCTGTCGAAGGAACTATATATAGAGACCATAAACAGGAACCCTTCAAAGGGACCTCTTTTCGGCCACAGGCAAGCCCTAAACCCCAATTCGTTTCCGGCTGTTCAGATGTAATTAGTAGAACCACGGCCCCAGACCATACGCCGTACCTTTGGATAGTTCTCTACATTCGGGTCCCGTTCAAGGGTCCTCCGTTTTCAACTTCTTTTGGGCTCCTAGAACGGGACCCTAACTGAGAGAACTACCCACATCAAAGCCCTCGAACTTTAGAACCCAAAAACTCTCAAACTCACACTGCAAAGCTGTGCGTGGGGGTACCGGATCTTCACCCCTCATCAGATAACGATGGGGCCTTATAAATGGAATAGGGCTTTGGGGCATATTGTGATATCATTACATTAAGGAACCCTGAGGAATAGTATTGATAATCATCCCTATCAAAACGGCTTAAAACAGCCATGAACATGGGAAACAATCCCCATAAAGGCTTACCAAACCTGTAAAACCGAACTATACAAGTCTATAGCAATTCTGAAGACCAGCAAATAAAATCAACCCGAAACCATAAACCCTAAACCCATTCTGGAGACACTCCGTTTGTGGACTTTTAGAGTTTTTGTTGGTCTAGGGTTTAGATGGAACTTTAAGGGTTCAGGCTTTGGGATTTACCTTAAGAACCCAAAACCCACTTTTTTGCAGGTTCTTATTATAAACCCTAATATGGGATTTATAGGGACCCTACAAAACCCTAAACCCTAAACCCTAAACCCTAAACCCTAAAACCTAAACCCTAAACCCTAAACCCGAAACGTTTTGGGTTCTTACGGTATGGCTTAGGGCTCAGATCCGAGCTCTCTCCTGGGTTTGGGGCTTACGGTTTAGGGGACATCCGGGAGGGTTTAGGGTTTAGGGTTTAGGGTTTAGGGTTTAGGGGTTTAGGGTTTAAGGTTTAGGGTTTAGGGTTTAGGGTTTAGGCTTCGGTTTAGGGCTTGAGGATTTATTAAACTTGTTTGTGGCTCAGGGTGAGAAGCCCTACTTTAGCAAATCTGAGTCTGTGCACTTGCGCGGAGCCTGAGTATCCTAAGCAGTTCACGCAAACCCAATTCCTAAACCCTATACCCTCAAGTGCAGTCGAGGGACAAAGGGACGGAATGGCGACTATCGCGCGCGTTCACGTTAGCCCTGGCTGCCAGCAGAACCTTGACAACCTCGTTGCTGTGGAAATGTGTTGCAAGGGAGAGAACCGGCATTCCTTTTGACATGGCTAGCTCGGGCTTCTGTTTAGTGATCTTCTCGTTGCAGTCCGCACGTTTCTCCAACAAGGACTCCACCAAGCTTGAATTGCCAGACATGGCAGCATAGCATAGCGGTGTCCATCCAGCTTTGTCTCTCTCGGACAGAGTCCGGAAGCCGTTCTCATGCAGGAACCACTCCACTTGGTATGCTCTGCCGTGAAGAAAAGGATCGCTCTTTGGCACAAAGCAAGGTATTAGGCCCTCCACCGGAGGAACGTTCAGGCCCCTGAAGATGCATGAGGGCTGCGCGTTTAGCAGGAATCGGTAGCCGTGCCAGTCACCCTCATCCAGCAAGTACAGCAGCTTCCTCCACACTATCTGAACGAGAACTTGGGCAATCTGGAGTCTGTCCTCTTCGATGGTAAACTC